TCATTTCCTGTTGAAAAGACACTCACCCTTTGGTTATCAAGCTGATCATAGTCTTTGTGAACCAAGTTATCTACTTCATTGAACACAGGCCAATCTAGGAAGAAAAATATTTGCTTCTTATTGTAAGGACAACATGCTTGAGGAGAAAGCTCTAGCCATCATCCTTTTACTGCTGTTTTTTCACAGAAGTATCCATGCATTAGTTATCTACAAAGAAGTCCTTTCAGTTTTATTTCTGCCCAAAGAGGAAGACTAGAAACAAGTATTCTGGATTAAATCAATATGCTGTTGGGTTTAAAATCGACTAAGTCCCTGTCCAACGTTCAGGAACCCCCCAGAGGGGACGTATGAGGCTCACTCACTAAGCATGTCCACCTTGTGGCTGTGAGGGGTTGCTGAGGAAGGGGAGCAGGGCAGGGAGTCAAAGGCCACGTCGCTCATGCTTTCATCCCCCGAGTTCTCGGACAGGCGGAAGAGCAGAGGGGGCCGACTGCCGGACACCGTCCTCACCCGGCTGCTGCCGCACTTCTCCTCGGTGCCACGGAGGATGGTCTGAGCAGATTCCTTGGCAAATCAACAACAAAGTCCCGTGAATAACCCTTCTGTGTATTCTAACTGTGCCACATAAGCCAACATGGATGTTTATCAGGAGTCCTCTATCGAAGAGGAGGTATAAATACACCAACGTATACAGAAGAATTTGCTTTGAGAAGTTCTACGTCCCAACAAAATATCAAGTCCTGGCACTTTTACAGTCAGAGAGAGTTCTGTTTAGGACTGAATTTCATTCAAAGCGTTTCATCAAGTCCCATTCCCACTAAAATCAGCTGAAACTGAGATTAGTTAAAGACAAGCAGGCTTGTGAGATACAAAACTTATCAATGATTTCAGCATTCAAAGACCTAAATATACACCATGTTATAAGGTTTCCTTTCAATTACAGCTGCAGCATTAATTCAGAGACAAGTATGAACAAATCCGCTCTAAACTGCTGTATTTAAACTGCAACATTAGCAATTAGGTGCTTTTTATTTTCCATGTAAACAGCGTATTTCAGTTTTATTTACAGGGCTTTTGAAGTGAGGATAAACTAGCTGTACTGCTTAGTGACACTTTTTTTTCCCCTTCAAGCACTTACAAGCAATTTTTTATTATAATCCAAGGCATTTTTCTCTTTGGATGAAAGATCAAATGGTGCAAGTCCCATGCTCTTGCAGATCTTGTTGCAGAAATGAGAATGAAAGAACAAGGCCATACCTCGAACACCTACAGCATTAAAAAAAGTGAAGAAAGGGTTTACCTGAACTTTATATTACAGTTCACTTATTAAAAGCCAGAAGTCTCAAAGCTTTTCCTAAAAAGTCAATAGAAAGAAAGAGAAAAAAATGCTTTGAGCACATACAGCTCAACCCACCTCCATTTTATTTCAACACCTGTAAAAGCTTTCCACTCTCTCTGCACAAGAGTTAAAGGAAGTCTCAAAAATCTTCAAAAGCTATATATGCAGAAGATATAATAAAAAACTAAATTGGCTGTATCACTGAGAAACATGCCTAAATCTGATCCTGCTTACAAAGCTTGCTCTGTCCTATGAACAGCTTCATGTATAGACACTTGCAGATTTAAAAATATGCAGCGCTTACCTCTCCACAGTCAGCTGTATCCATTCCTGCAATGGGGCAAGGAAATTAAAGGCCATGATTATTGCTCTCACATTGCAGGAAGCTACTTAATTTCATTACTTATTTCAGAGTAGGCCAGGAGACATGAGCCAAGATCAGCTCTCATTTTAAATGTGCCCTTGCACAGCTGCCCTGTTCAGGGACTCCTCACAACAGAACTTCAGAAACGTGCCAGCTGACCCAGCCCTGCAGTGCCTACTCAGCAGAGAGCTGGGAACAGAAACTAAGCATCCACAGCATGTCAAACAGATGGCTGATTTTACCTAGGTTGCCATCTCCAAAGTCTGTACCATTCTCTGTATGGATCTGAGGGTCTGTGTAAAGATCTCCAACTCCCTGGATATCAACAACAATGAGCTGGTGTCCTGAGCGCTCAAAGGTGAAGTGACTGAAGGCCTGGAAAGAACCATAGAAGATGTCTGAGAACACTCTTCCTTGATCTACTGAAAACAGCAACAGATATTCACCTTTATAAATGGGAAGTCTGATAACCCTGGCAGTGAAATGTAACTGGTATAAACATCATGATGAAAGCAGCAAGAGACTAAAAGCACATAGTGGCTTGTCTCTCCAACCTGTTCCATCTAGGAGGTGGGCTAAAAGAGGCAGGGAGAAAAACAGCAGCAGACACAGGCAAGGGAGAGGAGATTGCTTTGTTCCTCCTTCCTGTATTAGAAATTGTTTCCCACTACAGTCTTCACCTTCGGGACTGAGGAGCTGGCTGTTAGAGGGAACAACAGTGGGCTCTGAAGCCAGTGCAGAATAACTTCTGTATAAACATTCTGGCTGTGCCTGTGGATCTGCAAGCTCTGCATCTCTGGGACCGTGCTTCCTTCTGCCAATAAGCAAAGATCAGCCACATTTTGAAAAAAAATGAGCATGCCACAAATTCTCCCTCCCTTCTGGGAGGTCCCCCTGAAGAGCTGCTCTGTCTCTACATTTTTGCGTCAGATAATGAAGTGTACACTTGTACTCTTCTTCAAAAAACACATTTCAAGAATCAGGTAAAAAAGCCCTTCTCTTCAGCATAAAGCTGAGATATTAGGAATCTTCTGGGAAGGCCTCCAAAGAAGTGCTGCCAGGCCTGGGGGAAGTAACTGGTGGTGATAGACAAACATTTTAACTGCAGCAAGTACCATGGAACATTTTGTTCCCAATCTGTGAAAGCACAGCACTGATTCAGACAGCCCAGAACATAAATTCTCTGCTTACATTAAGCATCATGACAAATACCTTAAAAAGAGTGGGGGAAAAAATATAATGAACAAAACTCTCAAGGCCTAGTAAAACATTCCTTTGCTACACTGACCACTTTGCATTTTTCAATAGTATTTTAAAGTTCTTTTACAAGATCCAAGAATCACTTGAAATCTGTACTTGTATTTCTACATGCAATCTCAGATTCAGCTCTTCAGAAGTTGTAGCTGAAAAAACCCACCTTTTTAAGTGCAAATGGCCTAGATTTATTTACATGAGTTGGATATCTGCCACCTCCTTTTGTACATTATGTGAGGCACCAAAAAACCTGTTCAGTACATAGTACACGAGAGATCTCTCTCTCTGCCTTAATTTGAAAAAAGCTTGAAATATTTCAATGCCTGCAGTTATAATTAAAGTCAAAGGGCTTAAAGTTTCTAAAGACTATTAACCCTGTTCAACTCAACTAAAACCAACAGACACTGAAATGCAACAAAGCAGCACCCAGTGCTTGAAAGAGCAGGCCCCAAGGAAGGGGCCAACAAACTGCAAATAGAGAAATTAATTTGGCATTGTACTGGAGAGCCTACAGTTTCCTTTCTTGGCAGTAATGCAAGACCTGGATAGAGCCAAGAAATTCCCTGTAGCAGACTTTATGGAAAGCACTAAACAAAGCCTCACTTGCGGAGTGAGACGGATGTTGTCGTCCCGCACAAATCCAGAATTGGAGTTGTATTTGATGTATTTGCCCTCAATGTAATGTTCCAGATGAAAGAGAGGCTTTCCAGGTCTATTCTTCATTTCAATAATACAGGTCTGTACTATATCCACCTGGGGAGGAAAAGAAGATAAACAATGACTAACAGAATACTGTCTTCAGATCAAAGTGTGTGTGAATCCTCCAGCTGTGAAAACCTTCCCAACACAAGAAGCTGAACAATTCCAAAGATCTGTTTAACAAGGGAGTGGGGGAAGAGTCACATTCTTCTTGGGCTATTGGAGGAATTCCACAAATTAAAAGCAGACACAACAAAACAGCTCACTCCTGCAACAAATCCCTCTGAAAAATTCTTAGCAAGTGCTGGCTTTCTATTTTATTTTGTGGGTACCCTATAAGAGTGCACTGCAAAGAGTCTGTACCAAAGAGGAAATCACAGAGTCACTATAGCACAACTTGAAGAAATGCCTTTTCAGAGAAGGACTGAGGGTATCTACCACTTGGGTATCTCTGTATCCTGCCCTACTTCCTCCCTCTGTTCCAGACACATTCCTAAAGGAGAAACTATCACAAATCTTTCACTTTTTTTCCTCCATGTGGCATTTAGAATTTCTAGATTTCCAGATTCCTCTCTGTGCGCTTCACTCTATACCTCACCTCGCTGTTGTGAGACAGGTAGTTATTAACTAACCCTCACATGGGAGGCAGTGCACATACCCCACATACTCAAAAGCACTTATTTTGGCTATTAAAATTGTTAAGACTTCCAGCAGGTTTCCAGTTCTTCTTAAAAATCAATGCTAGTTACATTTTTGGGTAGGTCTACAAGATTTAAGCATCTACCTTCCTGGAGCACTAACAGTTAAGTGCTTGCTGAGACTGCTGCTGGCAATAAATTCTGTGACATCTCTGGTTATCTCAAAAGCAGCTGGGCACACATCTCAAAGAGCAATACAAACACCATTTTATCTTGGTCTCCAGTCGACAGCTGAGAACAGTGAGACATTCACAAACACACAGCCCCTAATTCTGGAAATGTAAAGCAATTTCTGCATTTACTTCATTCAAAATAAACTATCATTTAATGGAAAACACAGGAGGGCAAGAGAAGTTAAAGGGCATTTAAATTTAATGGAATGTGAACAAGTAATTCCTTCTAAATTCAGTTGAAAACTAATCCTGTAGGAGAGCAAGGCTGCATTTTTGCTCAGTACTTTGAAAGTACCTGTTTCGGTGGCTTGTGCCGGTTGTACTCTTCTCCCCAGAGCTTTGCTTCCATCTGCAGTCGGACATCCTCAAAATACACATCCCTGCTCACACTCTCTATGTATTGCTTGGCAACATAGTTATAGGCACCTTTCCAGTTCTGTGTGTGTAAGAAGTTGGACAGCTTTTTCCTGAAACACAAATTGGTGGTGAAAGGAAACCCAAAAAATTTACTTCAATCTTTGTCATTTCTTTGCCTGCATGGACAGAGCCAGGCCTCAAGATCAGCATTACCCTCAATCATTTACCAGATATTCTGGCTGAAACATGAAGCAGAGGTAGGGACAAGGGAAAATTAAATGTTCCATGGGAATGGCTGGGACATGCCAAACTGTTTGGTTTGGCTCCAGCTAGTTCTACTCTGGACTTCCTCCTTTTCTGAATCCCTTTCCCTCAAACCAAGAGTATGAAGGGTTGCTGCCACCTCAACACCGTGTTCTAATGTCAACAATTATTTTCTGCATAAATTAACAGGGAGTGACATTTCAAACATGAACTGAGAGAAACCTCTCCTGGAATAAAAGCAAATTGCCATGTTCTTAACACACGGCAGTGATTATCCCCATGCTCCCAGAAAGAAAAAAGCACCTGACGCTTTTTCTGATGTAACTTTTACCTTTTGTTGATGTGCAAATCTTTAATCCACAGATCCCTCAAAAGCAAGGAGGGGGTGGTGTGGAGCACGGGAAAACTAACAGTGGATCTGCTGGTTGACAAGGGCATTAAGCAGGTACCTTAATTAATGGCAGCACTCAAACTCTCAACCCTTTCCCTTCCTTCCTTTCCTCTCTCCCTCCCAAGACCTTGGTGCAGAGGTCTTGGTACAGGGGACACTCTACAGGCAAAGCAACTTCAGATTGTCTGTGCTCCTGCAGGGATGGGCAGACAGCTGCTGGAACAGAGGCCTTGGAAAGAAGGAACAAGGAAGTGAGATCAAAATTTCAGCCAGGATCTGAACCTCCCCAGCTCTTGAAGGAAAACATTCCTCTCTATAAAACAAGGTAGCTCATGTTCTTCTACATCCAGTATCCTCTGAAGTTCATGGAGCCACGTGCAGCTAATGCTGTCACTGTCATAACTGAAGACTTGCAGACTTACAAAAACCTAGAAGAGAGATCTCCAGATGGGATTTATCAGTGCACCACTGAGACTTTTGGAAAATCCAGCAGTGGGAAGCTGACATACAAGTTATGCTTTCTTTGTATAAGAGGTTAAAGCAAAGCTGCTAACAAATTTTTTGTTTATGGCATTTCTCAAAATATTGTGTAATGGGGAATTTGGAAAATAACAAGAGCTAAAAGCAATGTCAGCAGCAACCTCAGCAGGCTCAGAGTTGTTACTTCCCAGGCTTCATTCACCACTCTATCTCTGTGGCTTTGCACGAACACAACCACGAGCATGAACTGATACTGAAACTATACCAATGTTTCTGTCATTCAGGATTATCTATCTTTCCAGAAGCAAAACCAGATATGAAATGCAATTTCTCTGGATTCCACAGCTGGAAAGAAGGGGAAATGTTCTTAAACACACACGTGTACATTTTCCAGAAAACATTTTTTTTCCAGAGCCTGGAAAGGGTGAGATATTCTTCTAGCACAAACTGTATGCTGATGCCCACAACAATTGCTAAGACTCTCCAAGGAAATAAAAGTTCCTCCTCTGTCTTCCCCCACACTTTACCCTTCTGGAAAGCACAGCTGTTAAAGTTCTGCTTTACTCAGAATAGGATTACTCTGATACGTGTAATCCAAAGGAAACTCTGGGAGGATAACATTCTTCACTGATGGAGGCTTTCCAAATTCAGTCTGCACCATCCAAATATTTTTCTCCTTTTCTCTGCCCAACTATAGGCCTCAAGTTGGTCTCTAGGCTGCACACACCTATGGCCACATATCAGATTTTCAGATATTTTAGCATACCAGGAACACAGAAAGAAGGTAACTGTTTCTGTACTTTTACGAGTATTTTGCCTCCAAGACAGCTCACATGAACTTGAGAGCTTTACAAAATTTCCACCACACCAAAGTGAAATTCCAGTCACCACAGAAGAAAATACTGCATGGAGGCCAAGGAAGATAAAGTCAGCAGATACTTACGTTCTGAAACACTCTCGCATCGCTCCACGGCCAAAAGGCTACGGAAATGAAAAAGAAAAACCCAGCATTGCCATTTCCACAAAGTTCTTTTCTAACCACTAAGAGACACAACCATGTTTCCCCCCCTTTATATCCTGCAGAAAGCAGTTTTCAAACAGGTTCTATAAAACATCTTCTCAAAGAAAAATGAAAACCCACTGGCAGTGTAAAGAGGAATCTGGGGAAAAGACACTTGGAATAAGCCCCCCTCAATATCCCGTGGAGAAAATATGATATGTCTTTCAAATAAGCTATTCAAATTCTCTGTCCAGCTGGGAATCAGCCCCGTGTGACTGCCTAGAGAAGCTGGCTTTGCACACCTCATGCTCTTTGCATTTAGGCTTCCACACAGGATGTGCCCAGCAGAGCATCATCTCCCCAGATGTCAGACACTACGCCAGTAGTGCACAACCAACCCCAGGATGTAACCGGGAAGTGACAGCAGCTTCTACCTCACATACAGAAAATTCACTGGGTTTTCATTCTGAGAGCAGAAATTATTTGGATGCACACAAAATAGTAGGACTATTGCCAGGCAGGGAAATGATGCCAGCAGGAAATGGGAGTGGTGAAATGGAAGGGAAATCACTGGAAATGGAACAAATGCCTCACGTTGCTGACATGGAAGGGATGACTCCATTTTCTACTCTACTCTGGGGACAAAAGGCTGTTTGGACACCACAACATAATGAATGAGCCAAGGAAACAGAGAGCTGGGAGAAATTAGTTACATTGAGACTTCAAAACTTCTATCTTGCTGCCACTATTCTGGAACAGAAAAGAATTACAAACTTGCTGTTAATGAACATGAAGGAGAGTGTGACCTTACTTGTGCAGCCATCTTGATAAGGACTTCATCTTCAACCCAGTCCCCAGTAACTGCATTGTACCTGCAAAATCAGATGTGTCTCAGAAAAATGCAGAGGGACCCCAAATCCTCCTATTCCCAACATCCATCCTTCCTTATCTGCAACTGAACACTACAAAGTGCTGCTGCCACTCCAACACAAAAGCTTCTAATCTTCCCACCACAGTCAGGCCCTCCTTGCTTCAGACAGGAAAGCAGAAACACGATTAACTCTTTGAAGAGACACTGAATCCTCCTGACAGTGAACAGACTGCACTGCAGAAGCTATACTTTTGCAACACTACAAATCAGGCTTGATCTGCTTTGAAGTTAAGCCTATTCTGTGATGCCTGGCCAGCACACTGGGGGCAGAAAGAGCCTTACCAACCTCTACCCACTGGACAGTTTGTGTTCCCCAAACCTCAGCTTGCATAAAGCTGGTTCTGGCTGAGAGTCTGCCTCAGGGCTGTCGAGGATGTGAGCAGAACAAGCTGTGAGAAGCAGTGGGGCCAAGAACTGCCCAACACTGCACTGAGGGAGGAGCAAGTCCCTGCACAACCCTGTGATAATACAAAGACTACAACTGTGGTTTCTTCCCACCCCCTTAACTCCCAATACAGTAAAAGCCAAATCAAGAACCACAGCAATTGAGTCACCAACACATGATTGTTTCCAGCCCGACTCCCCCATCCTGCACTGAGTACTGTATCACCCCAGTCTGCAGCAGATAAAAGCGGTGGAAATATCAGAGCTACCTCTTTTTAACAGGGTATTTGAGTAGTCCTAAACCAGAATTACCACTTATTTGTGTTTTAAAATCTGCAAACTATTTCAGGACTGTGTGGCTGACCAGGGACAGATGCAGTCTGTGGGGAAGAGCAGCACTGCATGACAGTGGTATGCGATTGGAAGGGAGGCCTCCCCAACACTGATGCTAAGTGGTGATTAACTGGCCTCTAACCCCTACCCCTTCCACCCAGAAACCTGTGTCAGCAGAGTAAATATTTTGGCAGAGCTTGTGCTAAAGCACTAAAACCAGTTTAATGGCCAAACTCAGTTTCAGCACGTACACCATGCTGAGCTATTCTGGGCTCTATAAGGATTTAAATTCCAGCCACATGCAACAATACTGCATGGACTGGTAACACTGAAACTGCTATTTTGGGAAAGGCATGGAGTGTTATGTTGCTTTTTTTTTTCTAAACTATTTAAACTAAGTATGCTGCCCCTTTATTGGAATTCATTTCCTTATTAGATTAAGTTTATAGCACTAATAAATCAACTAGACAATACTTCTCAGCCTTGTTTCCTGTCTACATGGGTAAAGTCCTAGATACTACTTAGGTGGGAGAGAAAGAGTGTGCCACTGGTTTGCTGAAAGGTTTATTTTCTGTTGGTGGGCAGTATTTACATACTCCTGAGAGATTAAGACACGCTCACTTTGGGTATTATTGAAAGTTTTTCAGCCATGTAATTACAGATATTCTGCACTACACAAACACAGAAACCAGCAGTTGTGTTTAACATCAGCATCCAAAGACCCACAGACCTGTAACGAGTGGCATGTTCCGTCTCAACATCCTCCAGGTGAAATTCTGCCCATGGATCAGGCATGTGCTTGGCTTTCTCAATAGCATGTTTCCAGGTTTCCTGAAGAAGTTACAAACTGGCAGTTTATTTATAATCACCAGCAGCTCACAAAACCAGCATTTTCTAGACCAAATCAGGATCCTCATGCTAGGAAGATGTGCAACCACACAAGCCCTCAAAGAACTACTCAGAGCAGGGACTAAGCAGTACCAGAGACCACTCTGACCTTTTATAGTTTCAGTTATAATGAAACACAGTTCAGGGATATAAATCATCAGGTTTCAGTTCAATTTGCACTGCTGTGAAGTTACTGAGAACAGAACCTGGTACAGTATATACCAAATATAATTTATCAAACCTGTGGTAATTTGCAAATATCTCCAGCACATACTGCAAATAGCAATAATGCACATCCAGATGATATTAATTCACTTCTACTGTTTTGATTTTTAACTTTTCGTAACTAACAGCATGCATATGTGTAAGCATAAAAAAGTCCATTAGCAACAGAGCTAATATGGACAAAGAAAAAAGTTCTGTGAACCCCAAGGCCCCAGATTGTGCTCAGCATAAGAAAGAAGAAATTAGAATGTTGTATAAATTTATTATTACAACAATTCCAGACAAGTAGCAACTTCATTGTTCACCAAGTCAACAGTACAACATCAAAGTAGTTTTCTGGAATATCCACAGTCTTCCTCTACCAGTCAATTTGGATGCTTCTCTCTTAACATTCTGATCTCCCTCTTTTTACATTGTATTTTTCCAAGAAAACCTGTGATGTGCCAAATGCCTTCTGCAAGGTGAGCAGGAGAAAAAGCACTCTGCACCCCATCAGTAAAGAAATACTGGGCCCTGAGGTATTGCTACTGTCTCTTTGAATTTCAAGTGTAGAGAAACGGCAACTTTTAAAATTTGGGAATTCCCACCCCCCCCCTCTGGAATTTAAATCAGTCAATTTAAAAAACCCTACAGTATAAATTTGGGTCAGCAATGACATCAAGGAAGTTTTTGAAGCAGCTGAGCTTTTAAATTGTTCATGCTTATTCTGAATTTCAGCTGTAACTTTGCATACCTTGCAAACAATTCAAATGCTCCCCTTTCTGATAAGAGTACCATAAAATGAACACAATACTATAATAAATAAAACAAGTTTAAAGGACATGTTGAGAAAGATTTCCTATGTTTCATAAGCAAATGAAGTTGCCTCAGGTCGTGCAATGACAGACATTTCACATGGACCTGAGAACTTCCACACTTAAATACATGTGACAGAAATAGGGAGAGACAGCAACAAATAGAATTGCTCAGTGAATCATCAGTGTCAAATCGTTCTTGAGTAGACTCCCGCTCCAAAAGGTGATTTGTGTCCATGCTAGGCAGTAACTTAAATCAGTTAATTACTTGTGCATGATCTCATGAGGTGCTTTGTACAAAAGCTGTATTCTGATCTTCAAACAAACAGAAATTGGAAATGGTGCTACCAGTGCAATTTTTCTCCTGCTGGAGGCATATGGCTGCCACACAGAGACCTTTCAGGGCAGAGAACAAAAGATGGGTATTATTTCATTTAACAGGTATCTTTTCTAGTTTTGACTTAATGACTTTTATGGGCTGAGGCAAGCAGTTCTCCCAGACAATAATATAATGAACAAAAAAGTCCTTAAAAGGAAAAAAAAAATCATAATTCATCTATTAGATATGGTGTTCACGTTTCTTTTTTAACCTACCCGACCATGGTCAACCACAGAGCCATGCTTAGAACGATGCTGTGTGTCATTCTAAAGGATCCATGAGAGACATGAAAGCAGGAAAATACACGTGATAAGACAAATGATTGACAAAGAGTCTTGGTTCTCTTTGTTAGTTAAAAAAAATAAAGTTTCCAGTTAAAAGCCACTCTTCAGTTTATATCCCCAATTTAAGTTCACTCTTAGAACATCTGTGAACAAACCTATTGAGGTAAGTTGGCAATTTTTTAAACTGGAAAGCATGCATTAAAAGGATCTTGCCTATTAACTAGCTACTTAAACACTGCTGAGTCCTGTTTAAAGGCAGAGGGTTAACAACAGCAAGTTTCTGTCTCTGCATTTCATTATCAATGGCCCACACTGCCTTTAGGTTTGGGGTCTGACAGGCAGAGTGATCAGAGCAGGCTGTGGGGGTTTAGGATGTTATCAGTCCTGGCTGTTTGCTTCACTTTGTTGGAAGTCACCATTCCTGAAGATTAAGCAGGAGATGGAGACTTGCTTGCTCCACATCTCATTTTATCTGTGATAGGAGCCACAGTGCCAAACTAGACATTGTGGAGACCAAAGATAGCCACAAACATTCTGCAGAAACAAAATGATAGGTTAAGAAGGAGGAAATAATTGCAATTTCTGAAGTCCTTATCAGTTTTATCTCAGGCCATATGACTCAGAACTTGCACTGCAAACCCAGAGGCAAGTATTTACTATGTGCTAAAATATACACACAAATGAAGACTAAGCTCCCTATCAGGTCATAACTTGCTTAGCATAGAATACACTAACATCTGTCCTCTTTCTATACTAAGCTTTTACTCTTCACTTTCCTTAGGATTATGTACCTTTTAATGTTTTTATTAACTACCTTTGGTAAAAATCTTGCTGCAGACAAGCCAGGTTCACTTTCCATGTGTTACTTTATATGTTATCTGACTAAAATAACCCCCCTGCTATGTCTTCACAAATAAAGCATGCATTAGGCATAACCGAGATTTTAGAGTATATATTAAATAAATGTTAATATTTACAATAAGAAACGTGTTAATAAAACACATTAAATCCTAGTCTAAGTAAAATCTAAGAGACATGCCAGTTTACCACAAATGGTGTATATTTGGATTATCTAAGCTACAGAATGAGTCTCACTTGCATTCTTGAGGCTCCATTTCCTCGGCTGACCTGTGCCAAGGGAGCCCAGTGAAAAAGGACACACTGCCAAGGAAGCACCAACTATGGCCCTTTCGACCTCCCTGCACTGCTATGACTGCTCTTCATCTCAAAAAGGTCAGATACTGCTCGAGTACACTGTCAGAACTACTGCCAGTGTGACACTTGATGCCCAAGCATGAGAGCCAACATGTCAAAAGCTCCCTAAGAAGGAATTACTACATAAAAACGTACCATTTATCATTTACAATTTTATTTGCCCGATATAGCAAAATCCATAATAAATTATCCTCTGACAGGCCCCAATTTAGCTTACAACAAGTGTATAATCTTCTGAGTCTCTCAGTCAAAGTTTGATCAGAGGGGCAGTGAATCGCTTGCCTGGATCGCGCCACCTTTGTAAATGAACTAAAAGGGACAGTGAGCAATTCCATGGCAGTGTCAGACTATTGGTTTAATGGAATTAACTGCAGGTCTGGAAAAAAACAAGTGTGTTTTTTTATTGAAAAGTGTTAGTTACAAGAGGTGAAGTAGTTAGAGAATGTCTCATGCCAACAAAGTAAAACCAAAACCTTATTGAAGGTTGGAGCCAATACTTACCTTAAAGCTAAAGCTTCTAGGAGAAGAGCTTGAACTGTACTGCTCACTTTTTGCTAAGCTGCTGTAATAATTGTCTACTTTGGTATTGGCAGACTTGTCAGAAATTGGATCATCAGTTATTGGACAGATAAAATAATTGTCTTCATCATCACTATCAGCATCAAGATAATCCCCAGAGTTCGCTGTGGTCGTCCTGGCATTATCAATCCCTTCCATACGAAAAATAAGGTCCTCGTCTGCCATGTTTGCAGGAGGTTGGTTTAACTCCTACAAGGATTGAAACACCCACTATTCCAAAGCACGTGCAAACGGAGGGAAGAAACTGGGTGGAAGAGAAAAAAATTGTTATTTAAAGAACAAATTATGCATAAAACTGATGTCAGCACACTGGCAGAAAAAAAACAAACCAAAACAACAAATCCAACACATTTGCATATGGCTCTGTAAAAGTAATCCCCCAGTACTTCCATGTAGTTTCGAACACCTCACTGCTATAGCTGGGTTTCTAGAAGGTTTTTTGTTTTTAAACTGCTACAGGAGTGAGAAAAGAAGACAGTCAAGTATAGAATAAAACTAGCTCCTATCTCCTCCTTCAAATGTTTTTATTCTTCCTTTTTTTAAATCCTGAGTTTCACAACACTAGTCTTAGAAACTAGAAGGGGTTTTACCGCGAACACCACACTCAGGTTTTCAAATTTTTTCAGGGCAAGTCTTCTCAAAGATATTGCACACAAATTAAGAGTCAAGTGAGTTAGATAGCATTATTAGGACAACATAAAAAAATTTCCCACCATCAACAAGATTTAAGCTGGCTTTTAGCTCCTATACAGCCAACAGTCCACAGTAAAACACGCTGCTGAAAGTGCAGCACATTGCAGAAAAATGAGGTGGAGAAATGATCAAAGCCCTTGGAAGAGGTGGAAGTTTGCCTCTCTGAAAACACTGGCACCTACCAAATAGAGGATTAGTGAGAATTTTCAAAATCTGGCCCTGATGCTGGCTGAGCAACAGCATGTAATTTAAAACAGATACTTCTGTCACTTGGCTTAGTTCTTCACTGGACCAGCAAATCAGAGATTTTCAGAAAGCTAGCCTAATAAAACAATCATAAAACAAGGTTTTCAGTTTTGCTTCACGGTTATTCTTCAGCCCTTTGCATATTCAGCCTTCCTTCTCCAAGAAACAGCGAGATAAATCCATCCTACAGCAGCATGCACAGCTCCTACTCCACAGTTACTGAGAAACTGGTCACCACAGAAACAGCACCATATGGCAGCTTTCACCAGCAACATCATGGTGTTGGTTCCTGCCTTTCTGATGGAGGCAACATTCCAACATCTCAGCCAGCAACACAGGGAACTGTTGCCCTGCACTCACTCCTGTGCCTGCTGCCACAGGATCTCCAGACCCACGGGGTCCACAATGGTCTGAAAAGCAGCAGCAACAGGAATACAGGTTTGTGCAGCAGTGAGTGCAAACATTGGGGTTCCTGTGACTTGCTGTGCAAACCAAACATTGTCACACAAATCAGTTTCTATTTAAAGCTAATGGTGTTTGTAAAAGTCTCACAGTTTTTCTTGGAACCCTATTTCTTGTAAAGTGCTTGTGGTGTTTACTTTGGAAGTGTATGTACTAAAACCAAGCCTCACATAACACACTCTTTAAAACAAATTCAATAACCAAACATTAAACTACACAAACACTGCTCTAAACCTCATAGTTTGATGAAAAGCCTTATAAAAAAGCCTATGCTTCATCCCAAGGTTTATATTCTGTGCTTTTGCATTATGGCATAAAGTTATGCTATCTCTGAATTCCTGTTACTAGTGCTGCTTTGTTTTGCTAATTTAATCTTTAATATCTATTACAGGAGTTTTCCTAGGACTGCACTGAACCAAGCCTGCAAGCCTGCATTATTACACACCTGTAATTTAAACTACCCACTCCAATCCACTTTGAAAATTTATTCCATTTTTTAATCAGCCTTGTACTATGTGATTCAAAATGAAGATAATTTAAAATACAGTCACTTACTACATCTGCTCAAGTTTCTACTAATTTTTGTGTTTTCCCAATGCGTGTTTCAAGTATTTTTCTTTCTCCTGTCTTTACAACCAAGAGCCACATGACCAGGAGGGGCAGGTGAGTTGCAAAGCCAACCCACTGTGCTGCTGAGCATGGTGAATATGCAAATACATAGAAACAGAGGGGAAAATCCACATCACAGTGCTGCTAAAACAGCACTTGCAGATTTCTTGCAGGTGTCTGTTGTTACAAAGCACTGTTGGGTTGGTGGGACTCTTTAGCAAGGCCCGCCAGCTGCCTCAGCATCTAAACCTGCCTTAATTCATCCCAAAGAGGTGAGCAATAGGACCTCTCTAGTTGGCAAAAGAGACAACTGGAGCATCTCCAGCAATTCCTAACCCATCGTTTCAGCTCAGACACGGCCCTCTGTACCTCTTTAGCACAGAGCAGGGGAGCAGGAACTGCCCTGTAACACAAGTCCCAGATTCTCTTGTAAAGAAGCATTAAAGCAAGGATGACCCAGCTCTCCCTGGTATAATACTAAATCCCTTTTGATTTAATACCACATGAGCTAAAGCCATTTAGGAGGATACCTGTAAGAGTAACAAGCAAGTTTTTCTTAAAAGAGAGAAATCGCCTTTCAGATTAACACTCTTAGGATACTAATTTAAAATTTAACCTAAGCAACTATACAGACCTTAAAAATTATTATCACTTTCATGAACTACAGACATAAAGCTACTTAACACAGTACAGAACAAGCCTACTAGCTATGTTAATGTCCTATAGCACACTATGAACTACTGTGCTTTAAAAACACCCAACTGACCCTTGCAAAGCAAACGTCAATTCTCATCTGCACCACTGCATGAAAACAGGTTTAGTGAGTCTAGATAAGAGCTCTGATAAAAAACAAGATTAAAAAAAAACCCAGAGATGTCTCAACTCATTGTCTACCTTTGAAAACCTTGTCTTATCAAGGACAGATCTTCTAATGAGAAGCTTTACTACGGGTCCCTTCCAGTGTGCCACTACTGCAAACACCATGGCACAAACCACACTCAGCTTGCCTGCAAGCACAGCTGGGATAATGACTGCATGAGCCTGAGTGTTAGGGAACAACGATGCAAAATTCATGGAGCAAAAGGGTGAGTTCCTCTGCACCAGCTCAGAGTAAAAGGCATTTGAGACCCAAAACGCTGTGCTAGGAAACACAGTGAGGCTTCAAAAACACAAATGGCTTTTAGAGCTACAAGCAGTGAAGCACAGGAACGACCCCTCCGAGCCAAGTCCACCCTTCTGCCAAACATACAAATAAATACTATGTTAACAGTACCCAAAGTACAGGGACGTAAAAGGGCACAAAAGGAACTTCCAACACAACTTCAAAATGCCCTTGCATTGACATTAATAGCCCTGTCATTTCAACTGGCTTTAAATACACTGAAAAACTGCCTATCGCTGACCTTTTGTAAGCATTTGCACAGTATCCCACGGTCTTAATTAAGCTCATGTTTTACGCGTATTGAGGCACTTGAAAAATTACCCAAACACGAGCAGTCCTGGAGCCGTTCCGGGCTGTCACGGCGGACCCAGCCCCGGCCACACACCAGCTGCTCCACGGTCACAAACACCACTGGGCACTTTTATCAGCGCATGCATTAAAACTATGAGCACGGAAAAAACGCTAAACTCCAGGTGTACGCGCAGCAGCGCTGCCCAGCACACACGGATCAGGTTATTTTTAGCCCAGCGCAAAGGCTTGGCCCCGGCCTTTTGCAGACTCAAACCACCGCGGCTGTCGATCACGTTCTGCAAATTTTAAAACATTTACAAACAAATCCAGAAGGCCCGTTCCGCGCTCCACGCCGCGCAGCAGCCTGAGGCAGCTCCCGACCCCCGGCCCGGCACCGCGACGGCACCTACCGGGGCAGAAGAGCCCGGCTCGGTGCAGAGCGACCCCGCAGCCGCCGCGCCTGGTCCCGCAGCCGCCCCGCTGAGCGAGACGGGAGGAGAAGCCGCTCCAGGCAAAGGAGGAGGGAGGCGGGGCCCCGGGGAGGAGGGAGGAGGAGGGAAGGAGGCAGTCGGGCAGCGGAGCCGCCCCGCGAAAGCAGGCGGGAGTCGGGCAGCGAGGCCGCCCCTCACGGCCCCCCCGCCCACGGCGCTGATGAGGCGCCGCCTCCCGCTCTCCTCAGCGGGCCCCGCCACACCACCTGACAGCGAGGAGACGGGGGGACACGGCCAGACGCTTTATTCCCATGAGAAAACCGATGAAAATCTGAGGAGAGCTTCCCCCTCCCCAGTTAGCACCGTTAGGTGTTAGCCATGGAGGAACCCGGGGGGGCAGGAGGGGGAGCGGGTGTGCGGGTCTCCAGAGCGCTGCTCGCAGGAGCGGCGTCCAGATTTCCTTTACTTTCTGTGCCCGGCGGGTCTTCGGGGCAGGAGGGTCCCACTGCACGGCAGCACCCTGAGGGAAGGCGGAGGGAGCAGACGTGGGCAGCGACTGCGGGGCCTATATGCACTTCAGGTTGGCCTTTCCAGCTAAATTAAATGGCACAAATGCACATTTCCCCATAAGAAATGGTAGGATTATGCACCAAATTTCAAGTTCCAAAGACCGAGGTTCCTCAAAGCACCCACATTTGCATTCTTCCTAAAACACTGGCTTTCCGGGTGGGGAGTGCCTCTGTTTAAGCTTTTCCTCAAGCTAGAATTTGTGGAAAATTTAAACAAAACTCCTTATCCTTTCGTGGGTTACATGGAAATTAATGTAAAGAGGTTCTGGCTTAATTGTATTACTTGGCAGCCTGCAAAGAGTCTGCCTCTTTTACTGCTGTTCAGTCTCTTATTCATGTAAATAACTCTCATTAGTGGTTTTTACCATGAGTAGGGGTTACAGAACCGAGACTGGAAGATGGGAGTATGTCCTTCATGACAGATGGATGTCTCTTGTGGTATCACAGACAGAAAAATGCACAATCCCTGTGCTCTGCAAAGAGGGAGGCAACACAACAGAGAAATGCTGCTGCAGCGCTAGTGCTGAGATAATCTTCAGGAGGAAGATTACTAATATTTAATTAAAAACACACAGAGCAGATGCTCTGTCTTTCTGCCAGGAACACCCGCCTGCCACCACCATTACTTACATAAATTAAACTGTGTCTTAGCTTGGAGACTGGAGGGAGCAGCACACGTGCGATTTCAGGGTAACTAATTTTGTCAGCAATTTCCAGCACCATGCTGAGGGTTCAGCCCTCCTTTGAGAATGCAAAGCAGAGATTTCATGGAGCCCCTGTCTAATGCTGCTTCCTACAGGCACATTTCTGGCCAGCCTCAAATTCCTGCACAGCTTAAGCTCAAACACATTTACAATGTTTGTGATTGTGTAGGAAAACCTCCTATTCATCTCCCAGCTGCAAATCACAGTGGTAAATATTAACAGTTATCAAAAACTGAGCACGTTTGCCCCATCAGCACCAGAACTTGTGTCTCCCCATTTCTCATTCTGCGGGCAGCCCGGCTGAGCGCCCCGGGGAGAGCAGCACCCAGCAGGGCTGGCGTCAGGATGCCTCACGGCAGGGCCTGGGAAGGGCACAGACTCATCAAATGAATTCTGAAGGCCTAGTGGAGGCCAGATGTCTCCTTCCCACTGCATGAAAATGTGTTGATAATGGTTAAAAAATGACCACCTGCTATGGTAGGCTACTGATAACAGCAGAATACTGTTACTGGTGTGATACGTGAACACAACTGAAGTCACAAGAGCAGCTGGCTTTAAACTCAGGCAAACACTCGGCATTGCTTGGACTGAAAGGAACCCAGTGGCATGTGGCTGTATCATGCCATAAATCCTCATGGAGAGTGTCCTGGTCTATTAAGAACATAGTTAGGATATACCCTCTCAAGCTGCACGTCTCATGCTTTTAAATAATCCAGTTCTGATGCAAGGGTGTACTGACTTTCAGATTTAAGCCTGAGGCTTCTCTTCTATTCTATTGTTCTTAAAGGAACAATCAGTGATGGTGAAAAAATGTTTAATGAAATACTAAAGATGTATGTTGAAATCAGATATCGGCCCAGACACGCTGCATCTTCTAGTTTTAGTTTTCTAGTTATATGTTACCTATTATATCCTTAACACTGAAAGGGTTTGATTCACATTTTTTTGTTTGTTTGAAAATACTAAAAATTAAATTTGAAATGGCAACCTAGGAAATTAGTGACCTGCAAGTCTAGTATGCAGTTCTTTCATTGAGTATGTTCAGCATTGCATATTTTTTTTTCCAAGAGCATGGTAGCTTGTAAAGTTCCAGTATGCCCACGATAAATGAGGTTCCCCTTAGAAATTGTTGTTCTAGGGAACAGTGGATTTGAAAGAAAAAAGGAAAGCACATCCCAGATATATTATACTAACTTTCAGAGCAATTTTGTTTTTCATTCATTTGAAAAGCCAGATTTAAAAATTGACTGTAAATCAGTTAATTCTGCAACAATTTGTGCCTGTGACAGTCCTGTCTTACAAGGTAAATCCAGTTGGTCATAAATGTCCATATGGCAGGTGCATCTAATACACATGCATAAAAATTCCAGCACGTGACTTCCTTTGGGGAGAAGGGCTATAGTAGATATAATTTCTTCATATTTTTTTAATTGCATGGCATTTAGTCCTGATGTTTTCAGCTCTGTCCACAAGTAATTATACAAATTTCTCCTGCGGGCCTCCCAGAATATGAGAATTCGTCCTTCTACTCACCAGCGACAGCCTGAATCTGGTTCTGGTTGCCAAACCCAGCTCCCTCATCGAGGTGGACAGGACAAGCTCGCTCACCCCGTGCCCGAGCTCGGCGGCAGCAGGTAAGCGAGGCACCAAAGAGCAGGACACGAGCTGTGTAAGGGACAGCCCCGGCCACCAGCTGCACTTGTACCAGCTCTGCAGCTGCATGTGGAGCAGCACCAAGATAAAGGCGGCCGAGGCCCACCGTTTTGGGTGGGAATGGTTCAGCTGAAGGCACACAGCGGTGCCAAGAGAGCAGCTGGCCGGGAAGGTCACTGGCGAGCTGAGCTGGCAGCCCTGTGGGCAGCACCTGTGCTGTGGTGGGCGGGAGGCACTGCCTCCCTGAGAGCAGCGGGCAGAGAAGGCGGGGGGGCTGATATGGGGCGGGACGGACCCTCTTCCTGGCTGGGAGGTGTGCGCAGACCTGCTCTGGCATCTGCGAAGGGCTGCCCTCGACCCTACGTGACCATGGGAAGGCCATCCCTGGGGTCGCAGATCCGCGCCGCCGGGAAAAGCCCTCCCGAGGACGGACTGGAGCTGATCCGCCGCTGCTGCAAGGCCGCACGGCAGCGCTTTGCCGGGGTGCCGGCCCTTGCCTGCCGCGGACAAAGTGCCCCGAGGCGCGGCCCGACGGCCGGGGCCCCGCGGAGGAAGGGGCGGCCGGGCCCCGGGGGAGGGAGCGGGCAGGGAGCCGGGGCCGCGGGGTCAGCGCGGGACACGCGGGCGGGCGGCGCCACCTGTTGGGGAACCCGCGGGGCCAGGCCGGGGCGGAACTGCCGCAGCAGAGCGACGAGCCCGTGCCCGCGGCAGCAGCCGCGTCCCCGGCACGGGGCGGGCGCCCGAGGGCGCTGTGGTGGCGCAGACACGGGTGGGCCGCTTGAGGGGGTCGGTGTGGAGAGCGGCGGGGCGGCCGCGGTGAAAGAGGCCTGGTGGGCGCCAGAGCAGCCAGGCGGTAGCGTGGCCGAGTGGTCTAAGGCGCTGGATTTAGGCTCCAGTCATTTCGATGGCGTGGGTTCGAATCCCACCGCTGCCAAGTTATTTTGTCCCCGCGGCGGCGGCTCCTTTTCGCTGCCCGCACAGCGGGGCCGCGGGGGTGGCCCGCGGCCCACCGGGCACGGGGCCGCGAGGGTTGCGGGGCGCTGTCGGGCACACTCCATAAAACCCAATAATACTTGTTGTGTTGAGTACTGGCAACAGTGGAATGTCTTCCTTGCGTGTCTTTTGCTCTAAAATAAAACGAGAAATCCTAATTTCGGCAGTTCTGCCTTTCCTCGCTGTGTTTGGATTACTGCAGCCCCGACCCGCAGGCCTTGCCCCTGGGCTTTGCTCCCTGCCCTGGACTGATGGAAGGTCAGCGCTCCCACCTTCTCCAGAATTCTCAAATCCATATATGATTATTGCCCCTGCCCAGACCGTGATTCCTCTGTATCTCATCCCTAGTCTTTTCCCAAGCTCTCCCATTCAGATCACGCTCTTCATTGTTCTCTCTCCACGTGGAAGATAACACCTTTTCCTCCCCAGGCTGGAAAAGGTGCAGATGGGAAGGGGGTTTCTGTTTTAAATTCCCACCATGAGCGGCAGGTGGGCGGGGGCCGGGGCCTCCCAGAGCGCCTGTGCTTTTAGCCCATTTTAGCTGAGCAGTAATTCAGAAGCACTGTGCTCACTCTAGTGGCTGTAGGGATTTGCTCAGTTCAACTGCTTTAGAAGTTACATGCAAAACCACACTTGCACCTGAAGTTCAGCTGAGAAGCAACTAAACTCTGTTAGTTGTTGTCTTCAATAGGTACAGGAGGTGAAGGAAGCTATGCAAAGATCCAGGCAACCCATAGTGGCAGATTCTTGTACTGTGACATAAATGCACTTAACTAAAATAACTTTGTTAGTAACTTCCAATTTAACTAAAATACCCAGTTTTGACTTGTGAAAAACAGCATGTAACTCTTAACCCTGTGAACTGCAAGGTGCTGTCACAGATGGCTCTGCACTAGGGGCAGGGCAGGGAGCAGTTCTGGAGCAGCATTCAGAGGCACAGCACACATTTCAGCAAAGTTTGAAGTACACTTTTATTTTCCCTCAAATGCACTGAAACAGCTAATTCACCAATTCGCACAGCGAGAAGTCTCTCTACAGCTGGTGTGTGTTATTCACAGAAGCCTGTTGTGGCTGTCCTTTCCTTGGTTCCTCTGTTCCCCAAGGTAGTGGTAGTGAGTCATGGCAGAAGCTGTGGTCAGTCTTTTTGTTTCAGCTGGCTGTAGCTCTTGTTCTTTCTGC